GTCTCACCCTTGATAGAAGCTGGCATTGTAGGGTAACTTCACAAAGGTTAACCTTTGAACTTTTGAGAATAGAACCACAATGGGAAAACCAATCTGTCAAAAAAAAAAAAAAAAAAAAAAATCAACCCCTAAGCTTTAAAATGCTCTTACTGGTTCATTAAATAGGCTGGTTCAATCCTCCCAAAGCTAATCTCTTTAAAATCAAGTTTATAAATATAATAATAATAATAATAATAATAATAATAGAGCCAAATCTCACCCTTTAGATTTATTCTATGCCTTCTGGCTCTCCCATGTGACATGACATGAAAAACCATTTCTATCTCTTAATAAGATACACGAGGACCCTGAAAGGCACTAGTGGTGAGCAGCGGGTGTTATATATGTGTTGAATCACTAAATTGTACACCTGAAACTACTACTACACTATATCTTGACCAACTGGAATTTAAATAAAAACTTAAAAAAAAAAAAAAAGAAATGTCATTATTAATCACAAAATAGGATTAAGCATAAGGCAAGTCTAACTTGAAATCCATCCCCGGAGATTTACTTTCTAAAGTACCACAGGGAACAATCCTGAAAGATAGCCTTGGGACCTTGTGTTTACTTTCATATGAAGGCTCCAGTAAACACATTACCTTTGGCCAAATAAGACTCACACCAATAAAACGGGGCGCCTGGGTGGCTTAGTCGGTTAAGCGTCCGACTTTCGCTTAGGTCATGATCTCGCGGTTCGTGGGTTCGAGCCCCGCGTCGGGCTCTGTGCTGACTGCCAGCTCTGAGCCTGGAGCCTGTTTCAGTCTGTGACTCCCTCTCTCTCTGACCCTCCCCTGCTCACGCTGTCTCTCTCTCTCTCTCCTAGAAATAAATAAAAAAAAACATAAAATAAATAAATAAAAAAAAAAAAAAAAAAAAGACTCACACCAATAAAACTTGGGGATTTTTATCAATAGTGGGGCTCCTGGGTGGCTCAGTAAGCATCCAACTCTTAGTTTCCGCTCAGGTCATGATCTCACGGTTTCATGAGTTCAAGCTCAGTGTCAGGCTCTGTGATGGCAGCATGGAACCTGCTTGGGATTCTCACTCTTCCTCTCTCTCTCTGCCCCTCCCCCAATCTCTCTCTCTCTCAAAATAAATAAACTTAAAAAATTTTTCTTAAAATAATCTTTATCAATAGTTAGGCAATAAGAAATAAAATGGATCATTGTTATAGATTATAATAATGGTCTCCAAACTTTTAAAAAGCACATCCTCCATCTTAAAAAAACATTTTGCAGATATCCAAGTATATACATATTTTTACACATCAACTATATACTACTACTATTAGACCTCATAAAACAAGTACAAAAATGGACAATGCAAAGAATGTAACAGACATTTCTCCTACGAAGACATACAGCTGGCCAACAAGCACATAAAAAGATGCTTAACATCATTAGTCATCAGGAATGCGAAAATCAAAGTCATGGGATACCACTTTATATCCTCCAGCATGGCTGTAATGAAACAACATTTCTCAAAAAGTAAAACAACAAGGGCTGCAAAGACGTGGAGGAACTAGAACCCTCGTACAGTGTTAGTGGGAAAGCAAAACTGGTGAAGCCACTGTGGAAAACAGCCCAGCAGTTCCTCAAACCACGTTAAGCTTGGAGTTACCACATGAGTAATTCTCCTCCTAGATATATACCCAAAAGAACTGAAAACAAAGATTTGAACTGATACTTGTATATCCGTGCTCAGAGCAATATTGTTCAAAGTAGCAAAGTGTGGAAACAACCCAGAGGACCATCAACAGATGGATAAACAAAATGCGGTATATGCAGATAGTGGAATATTACTGAGCCATGAAAAGGAACGAAGTACTGACACATGCTACAATATGGACGAACGTTGAAAACATGTTAAATGAAATGAACCAGACCCAAAAGGACATACAGTAGTCCCCCCTTATCTGTAGGGAATATGTTCCAAGAACCGCAGTGGATGCCCAAAAGCACAGATAGTACTGAACCCTATATATACTAGGTTTTTCCCATACAGACACATATGTATGATAAAGTTTAATTTGTAAGTTAGGCACTGTCAGAGATTAACAACAAACTAATATAAAAATAGAAAAACTAAAACAATATTCTGTGAATGTGATCGCTCTCTCTCTCTCTCTCTCAACATAGCTTATGGTATGTAACTCACCCTGCTTCCTCTTACAATGGTAGGAGATGATAAAATGCCTATGTGATGAAAGGAAGTGAGGTGTATGACGTAGGCACTGTGATTTTGCATTAGGCTGCTATTGACCTTCTGAGGCTATGTCAGAAGGAGGATCATTTGCTTCTGGACCCTGGTTGATCACAGGTAACAGGAACCATAGAAAGTGAAACCATGGATAAGGGGAAGACTACTGAGTACTGTATGATTCCACCCACACAGAATATCTAGAATGGGCATAAAAGACAGAGAGTAGATGAGAGGGTCAAGAGGGACTTGGGAAGTTCCTGCCTAATGGGTATGTGTTTCTGTTTGGGGTGATGAAGAATTTTGGAAATAGGGTACTATGAATGTAATTAATGCCACTGAAGTGTACACTTAGAAATGACTACAAGAGCAAATTTTATGCTGCATCTATTTTACCACAATTTAAAGTAAAAAAAAGGACAAGCTAAAAATACAATAGAGGTTTTAATATGTTCTTGTCACACTGTAGTGGGTCACTCTACACACAACAGGTCCTGGTGGCAAGTGGGGGAGGGGCCTTCCAAAACCAAATCCGGAATTATGAATTGGATTAGACGTGTAATAGAAGAAATACTGGGGAGGTAATAGGGTCTGAGTTTTGGTAATGTCCCAACTCAGAAAGAATTTTATCTTTAATTCCAAAGGAAAGGGGACTCCATTCTGTAACCTTTCCTTAGAACTAAATACAGATCATCTGAGTTCTTGCCATACCTCCCACCACAGACCGGGAAAACCCTCTTCACGTCCACTACAAAGTGTTCATTAGAATGCCAGCTCGCTCACTACAAGGGCAAGGCACTGCCTTACAAAACAGACTGGTGTGCTTTTTCAGTCATTTTATGGTCTCAGGTAGGACCCAGGTCCAACTGAAAATGCTCCTTTTCAAAGCTGTTCTCAAAGTCATTTTCATCACTTTTCCCCCCTCAGGCTCACAAGCATCAATCACGGGGAAAAGTGACAGGAAATAATAAAAAGATTAACAGCTCGACATCAAGAAGCACCTATACTGCCTATGCGGAAAAGTGTCAAATATGAGGCTGGCTGACGACCAAGGTAATCAAGAGTAAAATACACATGAGTTTGAGGCCTAGGTTGACATTTCGGGAGGCAGAAGGCTCTGTTAAACACAGAAATGACAAAGCACAGGGGCACAGCTATAGAACAATCTACTTCCGTACCAACACACAGTACAGAAATTTCCTGCACACGCCATCACAGAATTTCACTGTAAAACAGGTCAGTAGACGGTTGGATTGCTTGATCTTAAAAGCCGAAGTATTTTTCAAGTAAAATCTAAGAACTTAGCTTCATAAAAAAAGTCAAAAAAATGTGTGAGACTCCCAGGACCACCTGAACTTGCATTTTCTATGGACTTGTCATGCAGAAATATGAATCATTTGCCACTTTCTCTTGGCAGTTAGTTGAAATTCATGACTACGCTGTGCTGGAAAGGGCAACCATCTTCTAAAATTACAACATGAGACAGTTGATTCAAGTATGTATATAAAGTCTGCTTCTAAATAGAATTCAGTATATTATACTGGGTGAGTGTGTGTATGTGCGTGTGTACTGTACTGAGTACTCACGTACTCGTGAGCAGGATTGTAAAAATGTAGGCATTCGAAGTTCTTGGGGAAATTCTAAATTGCATATGCCCGGTATGCTATCAACAGAAGCCCTTCCATTGGTAATTAAGTTCCTACCATGATTTGTGAGTTTGAGCCCCACGCTGGGCTCTGTGCTGACAGTCTGGAGCCTGCTTAGGATTCTGTGTCTCTCTCGCTCTGTGTCCCTCTCTTGCTCACACTCTGTCTTGTTCTCTCTCAAAAATAAATAAAAACATTAAAAAAATTTTTTAAGAAGTTTCTACCATGAAATATTGGCTTTTAAAAGATGAGTCATCCAAACACAGAGAAATATACATATCATAAATATTCTGGTTTAAAAGCATTCCGTTTAAAAAAAAAAAGCATTCAGTTTTGGGGTGCTTGGGTGGCTCAGTCGGTTAAGCACCCAACTTTGGCTCAGGTCATGATCTCACAGTTTGTGAGGTAGAGCCCTGCATTGGACTCTTGTACTGACACAGTGGAACCTGCTTGGGATACTCTATCTCCCTCTCTCTTCTCCCCTCCCCAGCTTGTGCTCTCTCTCAAAAATAAACATTATAAAAAATAAAAAAATAGTAAAAGTATTCAGTTTTATGAAAACACAAATTCAAAAAGATCTATGCACCCCTATGTTTATTGCCATATTATTTACAATGGCCTTCTTATGAAAACCACCTAAGTGTCCACTGATAAATGAATGGATACGGAAGATGTGGTAGCTTGCTTGGTGGGTCAGTGGTAGAATTCTCAAGATGTGGTATACATATACGATGGAATATTACTCAGCCATAAAAAATAATGAGATCTTTTCATTTGCAACAACATGGCTGGACCTGGAGGGTACTATGCTAAGTGAGACAAGTCAGACAGAAAAAGACAAACACCACTTGATTATACTAATACGTGAAAAAAATAAAGGAGCAAAGAAACAAGATACTAAATACAGAGAACTAAACTGGTGGTTGCCAGAGGGGAGGGATGGGGGGATGAGGGGAAAAGGTGAAGGAGATTAAGAGGTACAAACTTTCAGATATAAAGTAAAGAAGTCAGGGGGATGAAAAGTACAGCATGAGGAACACAGTCAATAATATTGTAATAATATTGCATGGTAACAGATGATAATTATACTTACCATGATGAGCATAAAATGATGTACAGAATTGTCTAATCACTATGTTGTACACCTGAAATGAACATAATATTGTATGTCAACTATAGTTCAATTTTTTAAAAAATGATTTTAAAAAAGACATTCAGTTTTAGTTCCAGGGCTGATATTATTTCAATACTCTTTTCTCAAGGCCCTCTCACATGCTATATTAAAAAAAGTTGCCAAACTGGTTTTAACACATCTTCTCAGGACCGATAGGCAAAAGTTTACGAAAGCAGTTTTGAATAAGAAAACTCAGAAAGATTCTATATGTTTTCTCCAAGTTGGCAGCATGTTTTAAATGGGCTGTTAAATAAGCTGTACAAATTTCCAAAACCAAGAGAGACGTGAAGGCACTTTTCCTTAGGTAGGACATGAACACACGGCTCCTTGGGAACCACAGCTGACAATCTGTTGGACTGCCTCGCTCCAAACCTGTTTTGTGGGTATTATGAATGACTGAGTGCAAACAGTAAGGGGTTGTGGAAAAAAAAGTGTTCTAATGTTAAAAAAAAAAAAAAGAACTGCAATAGATTTGGGTTAACCAAGAACTCTGACAAATGGCAACAATGTTTCCAAGCTTTCTTGAGAATCTTACTTAATTATTTAACCTTAAAAATGGTTTCCTTTCATGCCATGGTCATTTACCTGATAATAAATTCACAGATTCTTGCTCATTTAGAAATATTTTTGGTTGTGGGGCACCTGGGTGGTTCAGTCAGTTAAGTGTCTAAGTGTCTGACTTTGGCTCAGGTCATGATCTCTCAGTTCGTGGGCTTGAACCCGGCGTGGGACTCTGTGCTGACAGCTCAGAGCCTGAAGCCTCCCTCTTACCCTGCTCCTCCCTTGCTTGTGCTCTGTCTCTGTCTGTCTGTCTCTCTCTCAAAAGTAAACATTAAAAAATTTTATTTAAAAAAATAATTTCTTTGGTCGATATTCACGTTTACATAAATCGTTAAGATTTCACTAGAAAAAAAAAAATAGAACAGTGGCAGGTATTACCTGCCCCTCCCTGTACATCAAGGGAATATCTCCACAGAGTATGAAAAAAACAAACTCTGGAAACTCTCAGCAATTGCATAAATGAAATTCTGTTAAGTTCACATTTGACTGAGCACATTATCTTATTCTACTCTTTTTGTTTTAAATTTATTTCTGAAAGAGAGAGAGAGAGAGAGAGAGACTCTCAAGCAGGCTCTACACTGTCAGTGCAGAGCCCGACTTGAACCATGAGATCGTGACCTGAGCTGAAATCAAGAGTTGGACGCTTAACAGACTGAGCCATCCAGGCGCCCCCTCCCCTATTAATTCTGATTATTAGTTTCTGCCTACCAGTCCACCAGGCATGTAATAACATCTGAAGGTGAATTTTTCTCTTTACAGCTTATAAACAAGGAAAAGGAAGGGCAGGCAAACGATCATTTGTAGCCAGACAACAATTTGAAGCATCGGGTTAACTAAAAGCTGGCTGTGGCAGAATGTTTGCTACTGCTCAAGGGGACAGAGATTTGTTTTTCTGACAATAAAGAAGTAAACAGATACTTGGATAAGCAGGTATTGTTTGAAAAAGGTGTTAACAGTAGTCACCTTTTAGAAATCCAACTGTAAATTTCTGTCTACTTATTTCTCCCGAGGATATGTGGTTATAGAGCCCACAAGCTTGCCCGCCTTGCCTCTGACTCTCGAAAAAGATCAAACAGTCTCCTTCTGAAGATACTGCCAAACACCACACCCTGGGTCTGCGTATCCAAAGGTACAGGAAGTGGTCTGCCCAGGACATCATCTTCAGCAGGCTAGGATGGACAGAATGTGAGTCACTCCACATCATGCCCGAATTCCCTTCCTACCCAGCAGGGCAGACGACTTCCATCTCTGCTTCCAAATTGGTGCTAAATTTGGAAGGCAGCAGGTCATCTGGGTGAAAACAACTTCAAGCACTGCCTCTCCATGGCCGTCCGTTAGGAACAAACGGAACACATGAAAAGTAGGAACTCTTGCTCTCCCAATGGGAGATCTCAGAACTCGTAGAACAAACTGGCTAAGGTATTGGTGCCCCCAAAGGAATCCATACCAGAGTGGCCTGTAAAGCTTATTAAAAATATAGACTTGCCAGCTCAGGAGATTGTGATTCTATGTCTATGGCCCCTTAATCTGATGAGCCAGGTTCAGGAGACATTGAGTGAAACCACTTAAGCTAGAACAGTGCAGGATGAGTAGATGGGTTCTAACTAAAGGCCCAGGAATGACTCCTTTGTTGTGGTTTATGAGGGAGGAAGAGAATTTTGAAAAGTTCATATATATATTCATATATATATATATATATATATATATATATATATATAAAATTCGAATTGTGCATGTTCCCTCACGCTGATCCTTTGGCCACCAAGTTCAAACTGAGGAGTTCATTCCACACCTGTGGCTCTGGACAATAATCACCTACTTCTGTGTGGATGACTCATATCACTACCTCTGGCCAAGACTCATTCATGTTCCCTAAACCCAGCTACCAATCACAGCTTCTGATTCCATTTTCTCAAATCAACTCTTCAATTTATCTGGAACAATGGCTTCCTGTTCCAATTTCTGCTGATAGTACCACCTCTCGTGGCTTCCAGATTCAAATTCTTATCCACTGCCCTCCACATCCATATACTATAATTGATACCATACATGTCAAGCCCCCCTTGGATCCCTGCAATAGTCACTCGCCTAAACCCCCACTCCAATCTAAGTCACAAGATTAACTTTCCCCAAATGCAATTGTGACACACACTTCCCTTACTCAGGATCCTGTCGTAATTCCCCACCACCTGTAGATAAAGTCCTTCCACTTAACTTGGCCAGGCATTCATGGTCACTAGTTGGTCCGTCCCTATCCTATCATTCAAATGACCAATTTCACATTTGATCCATCTCCTGTCCCAAAACTGATCTATTCTAATCCCCACATGTGCCCTACAACTTCCTGCCTCTTGGCTTATCTCATTTCTCCCACTTTTTCTTTCTGGCTGTAAACATTGTGTACATCCTTTAAGGCCTAAGTTCAAATTCTACCAACTCCCTCTGGAGCACTTCCTGATGGGTGCCACCGGAAGGCTACAGTCCCAGAACACACCCAGCACATCAGAGCCTTTCCTAAGTAAGGGTGTGCCCTCTCTCCTTCACTGTCTCTCAGGTTCTCTGCTCTCTGGCCCCCTCCCCAGCACGCAAGTTCCTAGGGCACTTTAAGATTCCCCTCTCACTGACAATCATATCCTGGTTGTCTGGCAATGTCTCCCTAGGAAGAGCAAATCTTTAATTCTTATAGAGAACCAATTCAGGTTCCCTGCTAACATTTTAGAGAATAGAAGAAGAAGAAAAAATGTTTAATCTCTCATTCTATTTCTCAACTCCTGGCACCTTTCATCTAGGAATCCATCCATCCATCCTCTCTTTTTATGCATAATGAACATATTTTTACTTAACTCCTAATCAGTTAAATTTCTTGTATTTGTCATCTAGCTACAGCCCCCAGCTTAATTAACCACAGATTTCACTTTTAGGAACATGGGCATGGTTCTGTGTCATCTCCAAAGTGCTTCACACAGTTCTATACACAAAATTGTTGGCAAAAATGTTACAAGCGTATGTTCATTCAAAAAAATATTGGGTGGGTGGAGCAGTGGCTGTGAGTACATGGTTACAAATACATTGCCCAAAACAATCTATGTGAAAACCTGCTACATATAGATGATTTCTTGAAAATTGCCCCCAAATTTATGTAACAAATATTTTAAATACACAAGGATAAATCACAATATTAAGGATCCTGTTGTTGATCCTTTCTTAACAGGTAGTCACTCCTTAATTGAATTTGTTTTGTAAATCCGATTTACAACTAAAACGAAGACCACCCTACATGTAAATGTTTCATGAACTCAGATGAAATTTGGGGAGTGGGGGAATAAGGAAGTGTTCATTTTTTACTTAAAATTACAATTTCTATGGCAACAATTCTGGTTTGAACCCAGGTTTTACAGTTGTTTGGGTTTTTTTTTAATGTTTATTTTATTTTTGAAAGAGAGAGAGACAGCATGAACAAGGGAAGGGCAGAGAAGAGGGAGACACAGAATCCAAAGCAGGCTCCAGGCTCTAAGCTGTGAGCACAGAACGGAACATGGGGCTCGAACTCACAAACAGGGAGATCAGGCCCTAAGCTGAAGTCAGCTCAACCAGCTGAGCCACTCAGGTGCCCCAAACCAAGGTTTTAAAGTCTAATTATCTCACACAGAAGGAAGCCATGCTCCTTAAGAAAGTAGCAAAATCTAAAATCGTGAAAGTGTTCATTTTTTTCCAAGTGTCCAGAAAACTATTGTGTAACTCTGCTTTTTACATCTAGAACACAAGACAGCCCAATGTATGGGATTTGTCAGCTTCCAACACATTTGTTCCACAGTCTGGGCCAACACCAGAAGTGAGAATAAAGACTTTTGCCAGTTGAACTGAAGATCCTTTATGTAAAAAGTAGTGTAAAAAATCCAAAGAAGACTAATTGTTATTATTATTCCCATTTTACTAGTGAGACAACTCAGTGAAGTTAAAAAAAAAAAAAAAAAGTAAACTGGAAATGATCAGATGCCCACAAAAGTTTTCATTACAAACTAACCTCTTCTTTAACCTATGTAGAATATGATTTAATTTACAAAAATTCAATGTGCTTTCTATGAATACACACTCTTTAATGCAAAGTACATGTCAATTTTGGTTACTTCATCTAGGATGGCCTTGGAAACAAACAATGACTCCTAAGGCAGCTTTTCCGAGAACTCTGAAGATCTCTTTAGAGGATAACACATCCCTTTTTCGTTCCTGAATAAAACTCCAGCTGCTGCACCTTTTCTTCTGAGTTTGTGGTATCAAGGGTCTTTGAGCCTTAGCTCTACAGCCCTGTCCCATCCTCTGCGACTAAGGTCCACTGAACAAAACCAGAAAGAAAAATGGGACAGAACTCCAGAAGGGTACCTCAAGGAGAGATTTGAGCTGCAAAGCACACAATTTGCAGTCTCTTCCTTTATTATTCTTTCCCCCTTAACTCGAGTGTCTCCAGGATTCAAGCCCAAAGCCCATCACTTTTAAATCTGGATTCCTCCCTCCCCTAATCACATGCTGGGGGTGTGAGGTGCCAGTGTGCTCAGGAGGAAACTCACTGGGCTGCTATCACTTCTTCTGCTTTGAGAAGGGCTGGGTTTTGGGGGTTTTTTCTTCTTCTTCTTCTTCCTTTTAATAAAGGCCTTTTCATGTTTGTTTCTCAAGCCTTCCCCAAATACAAAACTGTCACTGTCCTTTACTCTTTCCACCTCTACGGGATCAGCTTCAAACCTTTGTATCAACTAAGTCCGTGTCTGTTAAGAACTTTGGTGAATTTATGACAGCCCAGGGCCTACACTTGGGAGACTCAAACTCTAAAGCAAAAACGTCTTATGCATGATCTCTGAAACAGTAAAAACACAACCACGAAAGACGGTAGAAACCCACCTCTTCTCCAGCTTTCCTTTCATGTTCTGGTTCAGTAATAAGAAAAGTTAATCCACCCCCTAGTGCCACGACAGCCTCGTCCTGGTCAGGCTCACCTAGAACATTCATTGCATCATTGCATCCAAGCCAAACTCGGTTACTGAGGCAACTAAGTTTTTCTTCCCAAAGGGTCACAGGGAAACACATCCCTCGGGATCCCCTGGTAACCGTCCACCGATAATGCTGGGGAACCACAACAGCAAAAGACTCGCTTTCCAAGGCTGGCGCTGGCCGCCTCCGCCGGCAACGGGGGAGGGGTGGGTTCTGCGTGGGGGTGCGCAGCGTCCAGTTACATTCCTGACCCACTTTCGCATCCCCTCCCTCCCCCTCCTCCTCCCCCTCCTCCTCCCCCTCCTCCTCCTCCCCCCCTCCTGCCGGGCAGGCAGCGAAGGCACCAGCGCTCCGCAGAGCCACTCGCAAGCCCTCCCTAAGCCGCCGCGGGCGGGGTGCACCGGGCGTCGGGCTCTGCGGGGGACCCGGAGGGAGCCCGCCCCCGCCCCCACCCCCGGCTTCCCCTGCGTGGCCCCTCCCTGGTCACATGGGCTCGAGAGCACCTGTTGGCGACTTCGGCTCCTAGCGGAGCCCCTCCCGCCCCCCCTGCGTGAGGGGATGGGAACGCTGGGGTGGGCCAGGGCTTGGGGGCTGGTGGGCGACGCCTGCCCGACTGCTCAGCTTTGCAAAGTGCAAGAAGCACCACGGTCGCGCGGCTACTGGGTGGAGGGAAGCCTACCCCTCCCTCCCCCCCCTTCCCACCCCCCGCCGAGCGGGGAGGTGGGGTGCGTCCGCCCCCAGCCCGACTCTGCTGGAAACCTGGGCTCCTCGCGGGCGCCGGGAGAGGATGCTGAAGAGTCCGGGCCGGGGCCGCAGGGGCGAGGGCAGGTAGCGGGTGGTGACGGGTGGGTGTGTGTTCAGAGCCGCCGAGTCCAGGAAGGGGGCGGGAAGCTGCCTTCTCAGCTGCAACTTCTGAGCGTGCAAAGCAACTCAGCAACTTTGCCGCGCCGCGCCCCTCCCCCGCGCCGCCCGGCTGGGCCGGGGGCTGTGCTGCGCTCGGGGGCCCCGGCGCCAGGCCCAGTGGGGAACAGATTTGGGGTGCGGGCGAGCCCAGGCTGGCGGGGAGCGAGGGGAGGGGTTGTGAGGGCCGGGACCGCAGAAGTGGCACAGCTGCCCGGGAAGTAGGACTGAGGGTGCGCCTCCGCGCGCCCCGGGGCTTGGAAACGACGCGCTGCCCCCGCCCGGGAGCCCTGGGGCCCCGCGCCGCGCCCGCCCCCGCGGCCCCCTCCGGGCCCGGCCCGCGCCCGCTGCCGGGCTCTGCTCGAGGAAGGGGCGGAGGATGGCGGCGGAGCCATGGAAACTGCTGGGTGGATAAATAAGGAGAGGGCCGCGCGAGGCCGTCCCCCGGCTGCCAGCATCTCGGCGGCGGATGCAGCGCCCAGGGAAGCACGGCCGAGCCCGCGCAAGTCCCCTCCTCCGCGCCCCCCACCCCCGCCCCCGCTCCCGCCCCGGCGCCCTGCGGCTCCCGGCTGGGCTGCGGGGGGGGGGGGGGGGGGGGCGCCAGGGGAGGTGTGGGGCCGAGGCGAGTGTGAAGGTGACCCGGGCCTCCTGGGGTCATCGGCTGTTTGCTCCGGGCCGGTCCTGCCAGCCCGGAGAGCCTGGGGAAAGCCCCAGACTCGCGTCCAGAAAGATAGATTCGCCAAGTTAAGACATTCAGAAGCGTCGGGGGGGGGGGGGGGGGGGGGGGGGGGGGGAGCTAAACGTAGGCGTGAGGGGGAAGATGGGGTACCTGGGCCAGACTGGGGAGGTACAGGCTGTCCCCGAACTCATGCCCACACCCCCTCAGCCGTCAGATTGGCAGGATGGTGAAGGATGTAAGTGGGTTGTTGGGGCCAGGCCTGTGCACTGAGGCATGCGGGGTGGGGGGGCGGTGCCGAAGAGCCCGGGCCATCCACCCGCACCCTTTCCCTGAAGCAGATTTATGAGTCCCTCCAACCTTCTCATACTTCATCTGACTCACTGTAGAGTTACTGATGCTTTGCGTCCCAGTCTAGCCTGTAAAGTGCTAGGGATGTTAATGGTGGTGTTGTGAAGTTGAGTCACTGCAAGGTGTGTGGGTTACTTCAAGTGAAAGTAAACTACCTGAGCTGAGGAGCCCGTCAATGGGCTGAATGATTTAATTACATGCCATCTTAATTTAAAGAGATTTACATGCTCATTGAGGACAGCTGGACAGTTACATTCTGATATGCACCTGGCAAGTTTTAACTGAACAAGGTCTGTTTCACACTTAAAACGGGTTACCAGTATTTCCTTTTTTTTTTTAACTTCACAATTCTTACCCTTAATAAGAAAGGATAGTCTTTTACCTGCTTCCTCTGATATAACTGTGAAAACCGTAGGCCAGAGCATGTTTTCCAGAGAACACTGGAGCTTTGGTATGGCCACGGTGATGTTTGCAAAAAAAAGGTTCTGTGGTCATATACCACATCTCGTTGGTCCTGAGATGCACGTGTTTTTGAATTTTAACATCTCTGGTGTCCTATTTGATGGAATCTTAGCTTTGAATTCTAGTTTACTCGGCAGTAAGTGGTACGTGAAATAAGGAAGTCTGAGAATGCTGAGATACACAAGTTTGTTATACAACAAAGAAATGCAACAAATATCTTTATAGGAAGACTTTCCAGAATCTTCTGTGTGCTGAGGTGATTGTGAATCACCAAGAAGTTATCGCAGGCAGACTTCCCTAAATGCATCCGTCCAGTCCCTGGGTTTTGTGAGCGTTATCATTGAGGATTAGTATTCCTTTCAGGAAGTGCTGCTCTAGTGGTCGTGACAGATTTGAACACAGTTAAAGAAAAATGTTCACATTTCAAAATAGTACCTGAGTGCGATCAGAGGTCATTAAATGATAAACTAAGTTGAGTATCATTACACAAAAGACAGAGACCATTTGGGGAAATAGGCACAGAACCGTTCACATTCAGCTATATTAGAAACTGAATCAGTATTATTTTTAGGGAACTAATCCCGGTGAACATTCAGTTCATCAGAAAATTCATGTATTTGATATGTCCTATTGCTGTTATACTACCTCCTGCATTATTTTGATTTGTAGAAGTTGATAAAAATGCTTTGTTAAATTAGACTGGCACTAAGCTATTAGCCAATTATTGCAATCACCCCAAAAGCTCATTATAGAAAAAAAAAATTTTTTAAAGAAAAGAGAAAAAGCAAGCAAACAAGCATATAAAAATTTGCAAAAAGGTGTAATTTAGCATAAGAAAAAATAAACCTGTCATTCATCCCTTACCAAAGGTGAGAGGCAAGTTCAGATTTTTATCAGTGAAAGAAATACTTTATTTGGAATGTTTCAAACACAAATAATATTTAATGTTTTAAAATGTGTAATTTAAAAGGTGCGTTTTCATATATTAGTCCCTTTTCACTGTACTATTATCCTGTAAGGTAGATGGAATAGTCACTCTTTGACCTTAGATACCTGTCCATTTGTTTGTGTAACCAGCGTGTATCAAGTACCTACCAGGTTCTAGACATGACACTAAGCTTTGATGATAGAAAGATGAATATGAGAAAAACCCGTTCTGTAGAAGTTTGCATCTGGTAGGAGAGATGGATAAGTACAATAAATCATTGTAATGCAGTATGACATTGAGGCTTCGAAAGGTTAATGGCTTACCCAAGGGAACTCAAGTCAGGATTTGACTAGTCTAATGATTTCAAATTCCCTGCTCTCTTCTATAAGAGACCTGTTCCCATCTTTGCAGGTAACATCGTGAAGATACAGTGCTTGAAATTATTCAAACATAAAATCGAACAGATTGAACTTCAAGAGCCAGAATGAAATGTAGAGATGACACATTTCACAGGCCCGGAAAGTGAGCCACAGAGAAGAAAATGGATTTGCTCAAGGTTATACAGTTATCTAATGACTGAATTAAGATTAGAATCAAAGTTTGTTGACTCTCAGCCCTTTGCACTGTTAGGTGCTGCCCTATGGTAAGAGACGGTGAGGAAAAGCCTTAGTAGAGTCTGTTTCTACTGTTGTGCAGTGTGGGCCCATCTGAGTAAAGGCCTCAGGCAGTTGTTGAGTCTGTGATAAAATGCCCCATGACTAAGCACTTATTTAAAGAAATATTTCTAAGAGGAACTGCAAGGGGATTTCAGCTGAGTTCCTTAAAAAACAGGCACTATCCTTAAAAGTTAGACATGTTTGATAAAAAATGAATATGGGACATTTGGGGAAATTTGCACATATGAGAGACTATCAAGGAATTTTTGTCACTGGTTTAAGTATAATTGGGTTTGTAATTAATGCTGTTTTTGAAAAGGAGTTCTCATGTCTTATACATATATAGTGAAATATTTGCACTGAAATTATAGGATTTCTATAAATTCTATAAATTCTAAAATGCTGCTACTAAAATTATCCAGCTTTCTTTTTGGTGGGGGCTCAGGGGAAATGAAGATTGTAAATGAAATAAGATGCCGGACGCTAAAACTAGGAGGTGGGTAGGTGAGAGTGTGTCATACTTGTTATCTCTACGTTTGTGTAACCCCAGGGAGGAAAAAAATCTCTTCATAATGTTGAAATACCTTCTTTTTTGGAAGTTTTAGAAAGTTATTTCTCCTACCAGTTGAGTCAAGGTCAGGGAGCAGTGCAATCAGGAATTGCTGACATTTGCATAGACTAGCACCTTTAACATTTACAAACTGTATTCACACCAACACAGACCTTTCCTCACTCTCCTGAGTTAGTTCAGGCCTGCGATGAAGGCAAAGAATCTCAATTGTGTTGTCCACAGAGCAATGCCTGAAGCCCTGTCTGAAAATTCAATTTTCTTAGCGCTTTTAAATGGTAGTAAAAATCTGAAGGATTTCCAGGAATACTGAAGGCAGTACATGCTGAGCTGGGTCCTGTCTTGCAAGATTTCCCCCCTTCATTTTAGATGCACAGAAGGGGATGTGCTTCCACTTATATCAGTTAGCCAACATCCTTACTACAAACTATTATGCCAATCCCAAAGCCACATTATCATGGAATCTATAATAGCATTCTTAAAGGCCTCTGTGGCTAAGAAGAGTTGGTGTGTTACTGTTTTTATTATAAGATTTATAGAGCTGGTTTATAATACTGTATTCTTAATTGTATGGGTAATATATTTAAAACACATGTGGTAGCTACAGTTCTAGTTCTATTTTTAAGTGACTTTAGGTATTTTTTTTCCCCTCTTTCTAGTCATATAAGGTATACCCGCATCTGGAAACTATCAAAATATCGCAAAGACAACACAGTGCATGTGGTTAATTAAAGGGATAGACACCATGGAGGTTATAGGCAAGGTCATTATCGTTCAATAAATATTTTATTGGCAATACTTTGTTTTGTAGGGAGCTAGAAAACTATAGCATGGGTGGGATTTCCAAGCACACAGAAATGAAACTAGTTTCCAAATGAGAGTATCTTCATACAATCAGATGTTTAGGGGAAAGTAGTTTTCTCTTACCTTGTTTAAATTGCAGAAAACCCTTTAATGATGTGTCTAGCATCCCTTCCTGCCTTCACATCATGTTTGTGCTTTAAAAAGTCAGTGGCTCCCAGCTGGTGGCTGAATACACCCTCAGGATACCAGGTTATTGCAAGGGGTCAGAGACACTTTATGTGTATTAAATACTCTATAGACTGAATAATGAAATGACTGGCATAGAAATGGACTCGGCCCAAATGTACGTGTTTGTCGTTAACGAATAAGCTACAAATGCATTGGAAGATTAGCGTAACATGCCAGGTGCACAGTATACTGTAACTCTCTTCTTATGTACCTCTTAAATCAATGAGTACTAAAAATATAGGCACTATCTTACCCATGGAGGGGGCCAAAAACAAAGGAGAACCAGGTCTTTAGGGGAGGTGAGAAGCTCAT